TTGCGAACTCCCAAAAGTGAGTTCATATACCCACATTACATTTCTGAGTGACGAACCTTTCAGAATCAGCAAAACGCAAGGCGAAGCGACGCAAATTGAAAAAGATTCTCAGGAATCACCAGTTCTTGCTGGTAGCATTATCACACGAGATGGTATCAGTAAGTCCAATTGAATACCGCTCTCGTGTGATTTTCTTTCCCTTCAGCTGAGCTTGTTGATGCTGATGACTGGGAAGGGTCTTGTCCGAAATGTGGCGTGCCTTGGGACCCGAACGATTCTGGGCAACTGATAGGCTGCGACCAGGTTGGTTGTGTTATTATTGCGGTTTGGAGTTGAATTTGTAATTAGTGTGACGAGTGGTACCATATGGCATGTGTTGGTTTGATATCAGCACCGGAGGGGAAATGGTGAGTTCGTTGTGGTGTTATTCTGAGGAGTTTATGTGATGATGCAGGTTCTGCCCGAATTGCACGAGAACGAAAACACCTTCGAGGAAGCAGGGTTGACATTATTATTAATACATTGCACTATCATCGACGTCATATTAATAATATAATTTCATTGCAGCGTTTGTGAGGTTCAGTCGTTGTGTTGTAAACGACAATGATAGTCTAACTCATCATGACAATATTACCAAGGACACCGCCGCTGGTGTTGTGGTTACAGTTACTACGAGTAAATTACTCTGTTAAGAGCTGTAATGGCCGATTGGTCAGGGTTCGCGTGTACTACGCGAGAGACCCAGGTTCAAACCTCAGCTATGTCTCCGAGACAGGAGGTTGCTGACCGTAGCTGTTGACGCTGCAGCTGACGGCAACCGTTTTGATTCCGGGCATTACGGAGCTGCTTCGCGATGACGAATTAAAAATTGATCGAGCTGTTTCGAAGAGAATGGTGCAACCTATACCAACGACCGTTGGATAATAATCGTCACTAAATCCTCAATAGGATCACTATTTCTCAGATCAATAATGTATGTTACCCTACTGTGTCCCTCGACTTGTAAGCAACACAAAACGAGACGTTACTTTTTCTGAGAAGCCTGACCTTTAACTTCGAGTAATTATCGTGGTACTTATAAGCGCTAATATTTACCGTGTAAACACAGCAAACGTCACGAAACTGCTAGTACAACCAACAACAGGAAACCTCAAGGGTAGAGCATCTATATGAATGACAATGAATCTTGATCGTATAGTAGCATCATTTCATCATGCCACCACCACTGTCATAAGACACCACAGCTTAGTTAGGGCAGTCTCTGGCGAGATGGCCGGGCTTACCACACTTGAAGCAATTCCTTCCCTCAGAACCTAAACACATACAAAATGACAATTGGCATACAGATGAACTCTCACGTCCACGAGGAGCACGCTCGCTCTCGGGCCTAGTGTCCTCGTTGGGGCAGTCACGAGCAAGATGACCGGTCTCGCCGCAACGGAAGCAGGCACGAGTATCGGGTTCAGTGCAGTCCCTACGATAGAAATAACAGGGAGTTTACAGTGTGTTGTGTTACCTGGCAAAATGACCAACTTTGCCGCACTTAAAGCAAGGCCTTTGGTTGGTCTGCTCATTAGGGCAATCACGAGCGAGATGATCGGGCTTGCCGCAGTTATAGCAGTTCATAGGGCGACGACCAGTGGGCTGAAAAAAGGCGAGAATATTAATACCACACCTCTAGTAACTCCTACGCGACTGCTGGAGGCCTGAGGGCAATCTCTAGCGAAGTGACCGGGCTCGTTGCAGATGAAGCAAGTCGAGGAAGAAACGCGATCAGTAGTGGTAGTGGCGGCGGTATCAGCCATGGTTAGTAGACGTATGATAACTAAACCCTATGGGCAACAGTTGCTGCAAAGCTCGAGATAGCGTCGGCATAGAGTATTGAACAGAATACAAATCGATCATCATGGCGAGCGCTAAATTAAATTCTTTGTGCAGTCTAGCCAGAGGCGGAGTGAAGTCGCAGGTTCGCTCCCCGGTGGAGGCGTTTTCACTCTTCGTCTTAAGGAGATCTTCTCGTTTAGGGCTAGAATTAGCCTTGACTGCTCATACAGTATATAGCTACTCACCGCCATAATTTATCGAATTTTAAACTTGCCGACGATATCGCGCGCGCCTTAGTGCTCGAACTTCCACCACCGTTG